CGCTCGAGCCGGGTCCTGGACCTCCCGAGCGGGCAGGGGGCGGTGGCGCGGCCCGCTGGGTCCGGCTGAACGTGGGCGGCACCTACTTCGTGACCACCAGACAGACCCTAGGCCGGGAGCCCAAGTCTTTTCTCTGCCGCCTCTGCTGCCAGGAGGACCCGGAGCTGGACTCAGACAAGGTGCGCCCCGCCCTCGGGCGCGCCCGCGGCCTTTGGACCCTCAAATTCCCCCCAGGCGTGTCCCCAGATTCCTGCGACACGCTCCTCACAGACGGGCTCCTCGGTCAGTGGCCCACTCCCTTCCCCTTCCCCCGCCAGGCTGACCCCGGGAGCTATTCTCCCCCATCCTCAGGCGCACCCCGCCTGCCTCTCCGACCCCACCCTTCATTTCGTTCTCAGCGAGTCGTTCTCCACACTGTGCCCACCGGCACCCACGAGAACCCACTCCACACCCCTTCTGCATATTCCTCCCTACAGCTTATCCCAGCCCTTCAGATCTGCATGTGTTTTCCCCTGGCTCCTCGTCAGCCCCTCACTGTCTGTGCCAGATACATCCAGAACTGGGTCAGGGTGCGCTAAGGCATCTCTGTAGCTTTCTCAGACTTCCTCTCGGACCCCTCTGCCAAGTTGGGTGACAGCCTGAGTTAAGGGATGGCTTCGACAGCTGCAGGAAGCGCTTCTCGTGATATCACACTTGTGGTCGTGGTACTTGAGCTCTTTTCTGGTAACAGCCACTGTTTTAGGTCCATATTTGAGATCAGATATATTCCTTGGAAAGAGGTTACCATTTGCCAGTGCAAACTTAAGATGACTGATTGAGACCCGAGGAAAATGAAAACAAGAATGCTGTTTGGGCAAGATGCATGGCTGCAAACCAAAGGGTAGAGAGATGCCAAGACACTTAACCTATTTTCAGTTTGAATTTTTTTTTTTTAACTTTACACGTTCATCTTTTAGTTCCCAACTTACAAAAATTGACCGTGGCTGACACCACCTTCTATCCAATGTAGTACTCAGTGTGTTACCTTGAAATAGACTCAGGGTTGCGTAGACATTGGTTGATTTCATTTATTCATTTCTTATAAATTCATCATTTATACCTTTCCTCTAATAAATCTCAGGTTGATGGAAACTTGTCCTGCCCTGACTTTAAAGAGATTCCAAAACTCTTGCTTATAAAGGAATTGTTTTTATATACCCCGAGTCTTCCTTATTGCGGTAGAAACCAGTTTCTTCTTGTTCCTTTTATTGTAAAGATGAGTAGGATTAAAGCTGCTCAGAGCCAAGTCTTGGCAGTGCCAAGCTTCCTCTGGGCACAGAGCTGGGGTGTGTGAGTTACAGCTGGCAATGCAAACTCCCACTGATGTTGGCCTTGAGCTCAGGAGCATTGCCAACTAAACAGAGGTTTTCTTAGAATTAGAAATGTGATTCAAGGGCAACAGAGAAGTCAGAATGTCCATCTCAAAGATTTAGGTCATGCAACTATGGTATTTCCTTCCTCTCTTTCTTTATAACAAATATCCCACAGAAAAATGTTTATTGTGTCCAAGTAAAGATTTTAGAAGTTCAAGTCAACACCTAGATGATATGACTGTACATCCATAAATGATCTTAAAGTACAAGATACATAAAGTTACCCTTCTTGCCAATAGTTTGTGATAAGCAAATGTCTAGGAAAATTTGCCCTCTCACTAATGAATTGTAACAGAGGTTGAAATATCGCTCTGACTTGGTCCGAAAGCTCCGCAGTGGTACCCTTGTGTTTGATTGACAGGACGAGACAGGGGCCTATCTGATTGACAGGGATCCTACCTACTTTGGTCCAATCCTAAACTACCTCCGCCACGGGAAACTCATCATTACAAAGGAGTTGGCAGAAGAAGGTAAGAACAGTGTTTGAACTGGGCATGTTCAAAATTCGGGTCAAATATATTTCACAGATTTGACTTTTGTTTGAGACTTTTATTGAGCTTATGTGCAGATGTAGGAAAGATTTCTGGAAGTGAACAGGGAGCTTCCGATTACCTAGTGTCGCCTGAGGGAGTCTTGTTTACGGAAGCCCCATCAGGCTCTGTCCAGCCTCCCTAAGGAGAAGGAAATTAGCTCAGCTTTGCCGGTGGCTTCAGCAGTTTTTTTCTGAACCAGCCAAATTGTTAGGATCCCTTTTTACATTTATTTATTCTAGCAGTGAGTGTCCGTAGCCTGAAGCAGCACATCTCTGACATTTAGTTATTTACGTTTTCAATTTTAGTTTGAACTTGCAGCTGTAAAAAAAATAAATACTTGGCCTCATTTCTTTTAAAGACTGGTCTCATGCCTCCTTGTAATTTTTTGCAGCTGACCTAATTCATTCTTTAGTCCATTGTCAGGTGTCTATCATCAGTGGCCTCATCTTTTTGTTTTTTAGGGCATTTAGGCTGTAAGTAGGTCTAGACATCTTTCTAAAAGACTTGGCTTGGTCTCACCGAAGGCCTTGAGTTGAAGATTGAGGCCTGTCCCTAAACCCAGGGCACCCTGAACTGAGTAAGAAAGCTGTAAGGCTATGTTAGTTAATTAAACAGCTGTAAAACACCTCTGTTTCAACCAGTAAAAAGAGGACTCGCTCTCTTTTTTTAACGTTTCAAATGTATACAGAAGTAATAGAAATAGTACAATAAATTCCACGCATTCACCATCCAGCTTCAACAATTACTAACTCATGGGTAATCCTGTTTCTTGGAAAGAGGAATCTTAAGCATCTTTTCTAATGCCTTTTTAAAAACTGTTTTGAAATAATTTCAAACTTCGAGAAAAGGGCAAGAATAGTAAAGAACTCCCTTACCCAGATTCACCAATATTTAACTCTTCGTCATGTTGCCTTGTCAATCATTCATTCTCTCTCTCTCCTTCCTGCCTCCCTACCCACCACAGTTTTTATTTCTGAACTATTTGAGAGTAGATTCCAGCCTTCATCCCTTAATATTTCATTTTGTATTTCCCAGGAATAAGGATATTCACTTATATAACCACAGTACAGTTATCAAATTGAGGAAATTTAATATTGAGAAATACTTTTATCTAGAGTTTGTATTTCAGTTACGTCAACTGTTTTAATGATGGCCTTTATAGCAAACTTTTTTTCTGGTACGGTATCACACATCTCACTTAGTTGTTTTAAGGCCTTCGATTTTGTTTAGCTTAAGATTCTTTCCATGGTTGCCATTTGTATTGTTCAAATAATAAACATCCTGTTTAATTTGATCCACATATATTTACACACAATCCACCTCCGGTCATTTTTAGAACAAACTGCAAGCTTAGGAATTTTCCAGTGTGACAAGTGCCAAGAACTTAGTGACATATGGGAAAGGTGTCCTGCAGCTAATGGGCAGGTGCAGGAAGAGTCAAGGAAGGTGCCAGGTGCAAAACCATAGGTATGAAACGGAGTGAACAGGGCAGACCCTTGTCCTTGACTCGCTTTCGTCGGGGAAAAGGTAATGGGTACATCCTAAACAGCAAAGAAACATTTCCTCGGCCGAGGGAGAGAGACTAGATTTGCCCTTGAAAAATGCAGTTCTTAGCAAGCATGTGAACTCCAGCCTTCCTTGCTGTTGTCTGGGGAATTCACACACGTCTCTAACTACAGTTTGGTCCTTGTTCCAGGTGTGCTGGAAGAGGCAGAGTTTTACAACATCGCGTCTCTCGTGCGACTGGTTAAGGAAAGGATACGGGACAATGAAAACAGAACTTCACAAGTAACGGGTTTTGAACTTTTAAGGGAAAGCTACCTCACATGGCTGTGTTGTCCATGCGTCTGGGTGTGAGTAGAAAGGATGGGGTGCCCTTGCAGCCGGAGGTCCATGTTGAAACACTGTCCATCTGCCAGGCAGACAGCGCGTACTCTTCCAGACTTGTTCAGAACAGAGAAATAGAGAGGAAGAAATAACAAAGACAACAAGTCAGCCTCGTGTCCCTTCAGAAGAGTGGGGAGGTTGCGGCTGCTCACCATATGGCAAGTGGGAGGAGCGTATAGCACTTTAGATCCAAAACCTGTTCTCTGTGACAGAGTATCCGTGTCCCTCCGCGTAAAGACCAAGTAAGGTCTCGCTTGCACTCGTCGGCCACTATTAGGGCCAGCCTTTAACGTGTGACCACGTCACATCTGGCTCCTCCCAGCCGCTTGAAACCAGTCTCATGGTGTAGATTTTAGAAGCTGTTTGTGAATCGTGCTTCTGAGAAAATAATACCAAGCTTCTCTTTTTATTATGAAGTCTGGATCTTGATATTAACTCAATAGACATAGTAACAAAAATGAAACACAATTTGCCACCTAGTTTGAGAAAGGAAGACAGTAGGACATACTTAGTTTATTTCATGTCACATCACCCATCCTGTGTCTTAAGTGGCCACAATAGCTTCAGTAGGCCCTTGGGAGTCTATGACTACGAGAAGTTCCATGCTCTCAGGAGGCTTGAAGTCTAGCAGGAAAAACAAGACACTCCCTTTCATGTAATTAGGCTCTATTTTAAGAAAGCACAACTGCAGTCACAGAGGACAGAGTCAGACTCCACTGTGACCATCTGCCCTGTAGCATGACGTGCCTCTTATTAGATACCGGTAGTGGATGCTTTCTTGAGATCTAATCTATTGCAACATAGAATTTTTCTGTGATTGAAAAGGCAGTACATTTCTTTTCCAAAGTGAAAAACAGTCCCTTGCTCTTTCTGTGTTAGACTTCATATATCAAAGTTTTCTGGCTCTAAATGGAATTATCTAGTTGGATAACTGACACCTATGATAAAAAATAAACTCTCTCATCACTTTATCTCCAGCAGTTTGCAAAGGTGGGAAGAAGGGCTTATTCATTGAGCTCGCTTTCATCTGCCGAGGACCGAAAGGCTCCTTGAATGTTCAAAGATGAGTCTGTGGTTGGTTTGCAGATTACCATGTGAAATATGATCCAGTGTTGTTAATCTTCTTGTCATCTCATATTTATGTGGCATCATTCACTATTGCAGATATTTGATAGCTTAGACATTCTGAAAATATGGCTTTATCCTCAATTTTCCATATTCCAAAAAAGCTTTTGATTGCTTAGTATAAATTTTGATGGTACCATGAGTTATACAATTTGAAACCATTCAAATCATAGTACCTGAACATTCTAGTTCTTTGCCGGTGAGAGCATTGTAAGATTTCTATTTGATGACAGCAGTTGAGTTAATTAGCACTCTGGATTCTGAAGGCTTGTGGATTTTACCCAGTTGGAAGCTTTTTATTCTAGGCATGCCAAGACCTTTTTGATGTTAATTGATCTTTTCATCTGTCCTTTTTATTTAGTGAAACTCTAAGCAATGATTTGATGTTATTCAAAGATGCCCTCTTTCACGTTTGTCACATGTGGCTCTCAGGTGAAGTTGGCCATATGTAGATTTCCATGGCTGTCCCGTCAAACACATTATTTCCTTTAATTTGTCTGTGTTTAAAGGAGACCACATGACACATGTGGGCAATGATATAGGGTCCTACCCCGCCCTTTTTTAGTGATGTCTCATCTCTTTAGTGGCTGCCATAATTCTACTACTTTGCTTTTTCTGATAATATTTTTTGCTAGGTGATTGATCTTGGCACATTTCAGAATACCAGCGATTTACTTTGAAAGAGAAAAATTAAAAAGAGGCAATGCAGACGTCTCAAATACCTGGGACTTTGACCTGAGTTTTGTATGTGACACACCTGGTTGTTTCCGAAGCGTGGTTAGACATGATCGAAATCTTCAGTCAGATTTTTCCTACATTTTATATGGAAGGAAATTTTTGAGGAAATGTTAGCACCTTGGTGAGTGAAAGCTACACCTCATTCAGAAGGAGAAAGCATAGAAGAAAGAATACAGTGTTGTCAGGCCGACTTGGGTTTAAGCCCTAGCTCTACCTCCAACCCACACAATGGCTCTCCAGCTGGGACAAGACACTGTACGCTGACACCAGTGTCCCACACGTAGTAGGGAGCCAAGACCTGCCTTCCAGGACTGCAGTGAAGACCAGAGAAGGGAGCGACACTCTGGGCTTGTGGCACTCCGTAATCAATAGCTGCTTTTGTGTATCTGCTATTTCCCAAGTAGTGATTTGTTTCAAAACTAATTGTCCAGGTAACTGAATCCCACTCATCCTTTTGAAAAAGTTCAAAACTGAATTTTCTTCTTTCTCAAGGAAACAATCCATATTTTCTTAAACTTGCAATTGACCATCACTGATCCCTCTCTCTACAACTGAGCATCCTTGTTATGAGTCTGGGTTGCTCTTTGCTCCAGCAGGTGCCCCGTGCCCTCCGGGACAGGCCGTGGGTGTGCAGCTGTGGGACCCGACGCTGAATGGGCCCAGATTGCTAAACACCAAGTGCTCCTGTGCGGCTCTAACTGTCCTTCTGCGAACAGGAACTTTCATCTGGTGCAGATGCCTCCCTGCAGCAAGCCTTGCCCTCCCCCAACTTTGGCTTCTGCTGCCCCACAGGCCAAGAGTCATAAGTGTGAGGCTTCTCCTGCGCTTAGTGCAAGGGCTTCGTGCTGCAGCTCTGGGCAGCCATTTAGGTGCTCAGCCTTTTGGCTTCTGTTTCTAACATGTTCTAGAGCAGGGGTCCCTAACCCTCAGGCCGTGGACCAGTACTGGTCTGGGGCCTGTTAGGAGCAGGGTCGCTCAGCAGGAGGTCAACAGCCAGGCAAGTGAGTGAAGCTCTATCTGGATTTGCAGCTGCTTCCCAGCGCTAGCCTCAGCTCCACCTCAGATCATCAAGCATTAGATCCTCCTAGGAGTACCGGTCCCTGGTGCCAAAAGGGTTTGGGGACCCACGTCTAGAGAGCTGAGTCTGACTAGCAACTGGGTGTCCAGGAGTTCAGTCCTATCCTGACGCTGCGTGGAAGCAGCAGCTATTTCCACAGGCCTCAGGTCCCAGTCTCACAAAACTGCCCTCACTTCAGGCGCCAGGCCCAGTCCTGGTGCCCAGGCTACCCGCACTTCTGTCCAAGTTGGCTACAAATTCAAGGGTTTCCACGATGCCCCTTGCGGGTTTGATAATTTGCTAGAATGACTCACAAAATTCAGGAGGAAGCTATATTTACTGTTATAGTGTATTATGAAGGATACAAAGAGCCAGGAGAAGAGAGAGGCGAGGTACCGAAGTGTCCTGCGTGTAAGAGCCTCTGTCCCCAGGCAGTTGGGGTGTGCCACCTGCCAACTCGTGGGTGTGCTTGCCAACTTAGAAGCTCCGTGAACTCCATTGTTCAGGAGTTCTTAAGTGTGTCATTACATAGTCACGATTGATTAAACCATCGATTATTGATTATTGAACACAGTCTCCAGCCCCTCTCCCCTCTCCAGAGCTCATATGCTGGGACTGAAAGTTCTAAGTCCTTAATCACATGCTTGTTCTCTCTGGTGACCGGTCCTTAGCATACAAGAGACACTATCACTCAGGAGATTCCAAGGATTTTAGGAACTCTGTCTGGAACCAGGGACAAAGACCAAATGTTTAACTTTATTGTACCACACATCCACAGCGGGGACATGACGGCTAGCAGGGAGACACTTTCACTTTTCGGTGGCATCGGCAGAGGGTAAAGATAGCTTGAACATTTGTATATTATGGGATTCCTGTTTAATACAGTAGTCCCAGAATAAGGTGTCCCTCTTAATAAACCAAAATGTGGTCTACATTTTCAGCATATATGTCACATATGAACAACTGAAGAAGAAAATGTGGCTTTCTTGTCCAAAGTAATTTCATTCTATTTTCTATTTAGCGGAAATAGACAAAATCTAAGCACATAATTCAGCCCTTGGAACTTCAGAGTTATTTTCCCCACTGATTCACATCCTGGGACCCTTTCTTTCCTTGGATAAGTTTGTATTGAGAAAGTACAGTGCTGCTTGTAAAAGGGGATAGAGGGTGGTGCCAGGAAAGAAATTCCAAGCAAACTCCTTTGCAGCGTTGGTTCTTTTAGCCGAGGCTGCTGCAAACTGTCGTGGCCTTGAAACTGTTCTTTCAAGTGTGTTCGTGGTTGTCACAGGGCCCCGTGAAGCACGTGTACAGAGTCTTGCAGTGCCAGGAAGAGGAGCTGACGCAGATGGTCTCCACCATGTCTGACGGGTGGAAGTTTGAGCAGGTATGTTTCTTAAGTAGCCACAACCCCAGCATCTTGGCCTAGAAGTCCACGTACTTTAAACATCACCGTCTGGAGCCCGTGAATAACCCTGGGAGGTCGGTAGAGCCTGTTCAGAAGCATGAAGAGAGCGAGCCACTTGGTGTGGATTATTTGCTCAATCGTACATGATGAGTTGGAAAGAATCGCTATTAGTCTCTTGTCTCCCAGCTTCACATCCAAAGTTTCAACTTTGTTATGCCCCAAGGGAGTCGGCCAGCTTGTTTCAGCTTGAAAGTGCCTCTCTATGATTTTTGTCCTCCCTCAGCGATTTTTTCCCGGAATTGCTCTGTTGACACATTCTAGAATAAATATCTAAAGAAGGTATTTATTGTCATTCTGAATGTATATGGAATCCACCATAAAGAGCATGATGCGCAGGTGTGGTAAGAAGGGGATCCAGTGTAATGAGAAGCGTGGCATGGTCGCTTCCCGCCAGGCTGTCGATTTCTGCTCTCTCAGCTTTGCGCTTGTGATTGCGGTCTCAAAACGAAGCCAGAAGAGTCAGACTTTTACTATTTTCTTCCAGTAGATGGCAGAATTGTTCAGTTCATCTATTCAGAACATAGGGAAGCTGAACATGAACAGAATATATTACCTTCCACTGCAGGATCAGTTCTGCCAGTAAAAGTTATTTTTTTGTGTCTCTGTTCTCGGAACCAGCGCTGGATTATTTCTCACGCTTACATTCCACTGCAGAATCAGTTCTGCCAGTATGGCCGCCTCATCCTTGTTCAGGTGTGGCTTGCAAAACATTGCCACACTTCTGCTCCAGAAATACTTTCCTTGATAATACATCTGAAGCAAAGATACTATTAAAACTTTTTTAAAGTATTCTGTGAAACCAGTGAATTCTTTCCCTTTATTTTTCTCATCTCGTGAATGTCCCGCAGGCAGACAAAGCGAGCTCCCATTGACCCCATCATGTGCATGAGGGAGCGGAGCACAGAGAGCCTGCGGCGTCTTCAGCCCGGCCGGGCAGCCAGTCAGCCATGGTCTGACTCGAGGCCCCCCGTGCTCGCCAGCGTGACCTCACCCTGGGGCTCGGCTTCTCCCTCTGCATGTGTACTTCCCGTTTATAATTAACTCCTGAATTCAGTTCTCCAAAAGGTTAAAAGTACCGGCAGCGCCTGGCTTAGAGGAGCTCTTCAGCGATACCCGTTGTGCTTTCCAGAGCCTTCTGGGCGCCAGTCTCCCAAGACGTCTAGGGCGCCTGCCAAAAGGCGAATCGGCTCTGCATAGGTGTTTTGGCTGAAACAAACATCCATTTTCATCACAGAAACATTCCGCTTCACCTCGGCGTGCGCCGGAGGAAAGGCGATGTTGGTCCTGTTGCTGCCTTTGGAGTGTCTGAGCTGCCGAGCTCAGGCGGCAGTGGCAGGACGCGTACTTCGCCTCTTTGGGGAAGCCTCTGCTATGACGCCCTGATCAGTAGCTGAAATTTAGTTACCCCGGAGGCCTCCATAGTCCCAGAGAATTCTTCATCCATGGAGACGCAAAACCGCACAGTTCAGTCAGGAGGAGCATTCGATTCGGGTAGCACTTTCGTACATTAAGATCACTGGGTGTTCACCATATTCTTGTTTCATCTTGTTTTATCAGCTAATCAGCATCGGCTCTTCCTATAACTATGGAAATGAGGATCAGGCAGAATTCCTCTGTGTCGTCTCCAGAGAACTAAATAATTCTACCAATGGCATTGTCATAGAGCCGAGTGAAAAGGCCAAGGTAAGAAGTCGCTTCACCAGAAATTTGTCTCTTACCCGTTGGTGGCCGGCTCCTCCGCGGGCTGTGCCCAACCTGTCACTCATCATTTATTCCCTTTCCCTCTCAAACCAGCTTTGCATTTCCTCTTCCTTTCCGTCTTTTACTCTTGTAATTTAAATCAAGATTTACGGAGCAGCAACAGGGGTTTTTGGTTAGGAAACATGATCTGAAATAGGGTAGACTTTTCTCAGCCTGTCAAATCAGTGAAGAAGAAAAGCTTGTTGCCACTACTAACTGCAAAGTAAGAATTCTGAAACTCAGAACTGGAAAGGATTTTGCCTTTATTATTTGAAACTGTTCTCAAGTTCTTTCTTCTGCTGCTTCAAGAGAAAATGTATTTGGTTACCTTTGTGACTTGTTCCCTTCTTAAGTTACTGCAGAATTGTATGCTGTTTCCTTCTTTCTCCAGCACACGCGTGCGCGAGTGCTTGCACACGCACACACACGCACGCACGTACTCACTGTGATGCGCCTGACCATTTCCTTTAGGGAGCAGCAGTCCATTGGCGGGCTCGGCCCAACCCTGTTCTTCAAGAGTCTTTTACAGCTAAAGTGCTTCGAGGAAGGCTGGGGCCCCAGGCCTGCCCAGGTCACCAGGGCCCAGTGGCCAGCAGCTATGGGTCTCCTTTTCCCTCAGCGGTCTGCTTAGCTACCTCAGCGTCCAGAGTCCAAGCCTCAGCCCTCTCCCCCATCTTCCACTTGCAGATTCTTCAGGAGAGAGGATCTCGGATGTGAACTCCAGAGTCCTAAACGTCAAGAGAGCCGCCCAGCAGAGCACCTCTGGGAAGTGAAACCTTGCTCCTGTACAGTAACCGAGCTACTGCAAAGCAAAGCTGAGCCTGGTCCCCGGTAGAGTGTGTTCTGGTCAAAACCAAAGGAACCCCACCCCCACCCACAGGAACCTGGAGACAGATGCAGCTTCCGGCTGCAGAAGACCTTTTCAGAGACCTGCTTTTGTTTTCTTAGCCAGTTTTCCACCAAATCTTCACAGCAGCTTCTGGGCCAGGTTCCCCATTGGAACCCTGATGGGGGCCTGGGGGCGGGGGAGGGGAAGGAGAAGGCCTAGCTCCTTGTATGAGCCTGTACTTCAAGGAGGCTGCAGCAAACGGAAAAGGATTGTCCCTGAGCTGCACCATGTTTTCACCTGAGTGTGCCACGGTAGGTGTTGGCAGCTCTCAGGAACACTGTCATTCCCTTCCTTTTGTGCACCCCGGACAAGTGTAGCAGATGCAGAGAATTCCGGCTTCCATTTGTCGAACTGAGCTGAGGTTTTGGCTAAAGAGTTGCTGGAGTACCCCACATTCCTATGAACAGAGCCTCTTTTGAGGAAGGGCGGGGGAGCTGTCCTTGCTTATGGCTGGGGCTTGGGGGTTGCTGCTCGGGGCGTGGGGCATTCAGCTGCTGCCGCATTCAGCTCTGCCTTGTCTCCAGCAGCCTGGACCCACCACGTAGCTTACTTTCTCCCCAAGAAGAGGTTGAGGCAGGTGGCATCCTGCACGGAATCAGACAGACAGATGGGAGCTTTAGGTAGTTGGTATAACTGCTTCTGTAGCCTTTTCTTACCCTCCATTGGCCTGTCTTCCTTCCCCAACCTTTCAAACTGGAATAAAGGGACTTTGGACCCTTAATGGCACGGGGTGGGGATGGCTATTTCTTTGCCAAACGTGTTACGTTGTAGTATCCAAAGTGTTATTTCTGTGATCGTCTCTTGGAAATGCCTTGACTGAACGTGCGACATTTGTTTGTGTCTCTTCTTGGTTTCTCACCTTGGCAGACCTGCCCCGCAGCTGTGTCAGTGACCCCACACCTTCCCCACTGGTCGAATTAGAGTCTGAGGACCCCCCCGAATCCTTGACCCCACCCCTTACCATCACTTCTTTCTGTGGAGTGCCATGTCCTCAAGGATCAGATGCTTGTTGCCCCAGGGGAGCAAAGCTGTGACCACAGAGCTTGTACCTGGATATTCCCTCCGAGCTTTTGAGTCTTGGTGAGCTGTCACTGTATGTAAAGGGGCCAGAAGATCCTTTTTTTTTTTTTTTGGTGACTTTCACAGTATGACAGGTGGTCCAGAGAAGGGGACGGTACCTCGGGGGAACATAAGATCCTTTTTTTTTTTTTTGGTGACTTTCACAGTATGGCAGGTGGTCCAGAGAAGGGGATGGTACCTCGGGGGAACGTTCCATCTGTAAAAGCCACCTCAAGCCATTCGCTCCTGGGTTCCTTCAAAGTTCAGGTTCTCTGCTCTACAGTTCCACTGCTTACTAGGTGGCCTGGGGTCGTGATGCATGGAAATGACCATAGACTGTGCCAAATGGCTTTTGAGCTTATCACCTCCCCATGCCTGGATTCTCACTTCGACCTTATTTCTCTGTGTGTAGAGTAGGAGAGAAAGGAGTGTACAGGGTGTCTGCTGACACGTGTATATTTGCACACCAGCGGGAGTGTGTGTGTTTGCACCTCAGAAGTCTGGTACGTGCCCAGGATTTTTACAGCTGTAAAAGGTTGGAGGAACTTCTGCCTACAATGAAAGCAGTCACCTTTTCAAAAAGGTCACAGGCATCCATCGTATCATCTTTGGGGTGGGGGGAGATTTGAGCGTGTCAAGGCTGCTGTCCCACACCGTCCAGAGCAGGACAGAAGGCTTTGGAAGAGGCTCTCTCGGCTAGTCGGAATGAGCGACATCGGACGGAGAGGAGCCCGATCCCATAACTGATAATCAGCCTCTGGTCCCGGGCCAGCGAGGAGGGCTAGAGGGCAGGCGTGGGCGAGCCCCTCGCGAACGCAGTTACTTTTATTTCTCCCTTCAGAATTCCACAGTGGATCGTGTACAAAGACTGCCGAGCCCCTCGCTAAGTGCTCTGGGAAACAGACGTAGGCAACATTTCTTATCTCCTAGACAGCTGGCTTTCACCAGGTTTCACTCCTCATGGCAACCCAGCGACGATTGAAACTATTCCAATGCTCCAGGAATCTCAGAATGATTCATTTCTTAGGGTTTCTGGAAAAGTATTTTCCCCAAGCTCTTTATGAACCAAGTTGATGTTTTTCCTTGAACGCCTTCTCCCCGCCTCCCCCGTCCCTCCGAGTCGGGCTGATAACTTCAGAGAGGACTGGCCATTGGTTTGGGGCGGGGGGTGGTATGCGGCACATGAACGTGACCCATACTCTCCAGCTGCCCAGTGCTGCCGAGTGGGGAGCGTCTTCCTGCTTCATTCTCTGCCCAGGTCTGAGGCCACAGGTAATGGAGGCCAGGCCCGGGGAGCAGCCTGGCGTCTCCTGAGTGACAACACGGTAGTATGCATCTGTCTTTTCCTCAGAATCTGCTCTTCACCCTTGGCACTGAGCTGGGGCCCAGCCTCCTCTAGAGTGACTTTGTTTCTGCGGTTTTCACTGATCTCAGGGGTGTCTATGAGATGTAGGGGAGGAAGGGACAGAGATGTTGAGTAGGGCCAAGAGGACACCCACACCGCCCAGCATGGCCTTTGATCCAGATGTTCGGGGCCATGCCTTGTGGGTGCCCTTTGTTACTGTGTGTTTGAATAAAGTCTGAAATGTGACTTTTTTTTTTTATGTCAATAAAGACATAAACTTCTGAATCTTGAACCCTTTGGTGTATGTTTTCCAGTACTGCCAGCTCCTCGTTCCCCATTGTCGCCGTGGGAGATGAATTTCCCCGCAGCTTTTCCAGCAGGCCTTCTTAGGAGTCCTGATTCCTCCTGCTAAAACTGCCTGGGGGAGTTGGGCTTTCTCCCTCCTCACTTTCATTTTACTGAATCTGAAAGGGCCTGGAGGGTGCCCAGAAGCAGAAGGTGGGGACAGATGGCTACCCACCAGAGAGCTGGAAGCGACAAGGAGTATGGGATGGTTTTTAAAGGAAAAAGGTCTTCTCGGAAGAGGATGAGTGACTAGGTACCCATTTTCTCTGCAAGGTGAAGGATGAGTAAGAAATGTGAGATGCGAATCAAGTAACCAGCAAATGAAGGATCGGTCTCAAGGCACCAGGCAGAGTGTGGGATCTTTAGGCGGCCTTGGTCCCTTCCCATAGGGTGTTTACAGCCAGGGGGACGACTACGTGCAGAGGCAGTGAACAAGGCACACAGTTGTATCAGCCGGGGTCCCACGGGGGACGGAGACCCCAGCAGTTAACAGGTGGTGGAGAAAGGAAAGGGCCTCGGGGACACTGAGCTGTCACAGGTGTAGTGATTGCAGGACCCAGTTATTTCTACGAGGGCAGAGAGCAAAGGGAAGAGGTGAGCACCGTTAACAATGTGGAGGCTCAGAGCCGGGTCCCTGTGCAGGAGAAGATGCAGCTCCGGGCTCAGTGAGGCTGAGAGTGTGGGGGAACCTCGTGAACCACACCCCTGGAACTGGCTCCTGCCGCCAGAGCGAAGCTGCGCGTCGCTGTGGTTTCCGATAACAGGAAGGAGCCTCTCCCTTCTTTTCTCTCTGGCCTTGCAATCTCGGGTTCCTCACAGGCAAGCCTGGCAGGGGGTGAGCTGGCGAAAGAAAAGACGGGCTGGGCAGCTTCCCAGCCCCAGCAGCGCAGGGCAGAGTCTGAGAGAGAGAGAATGACATTAACCAGCTCTGCCGCCGCTTCCGCTGCTCGGCGTCCACCTACGTGCTTCTGTGCGTATTGGGACTTCCACACGATGGTAAAAACAGTGTTATGCCTTCATGGAACAAGGTGCAGCTACTCTACACCTAAATAATTAAATAAATAAATGAATGAATAAATAATTTAAAATATATCTATGATCTTGCCCTCTCCCCAACAGGAGACACAGCCAAAAGGGACACACTGTTCCTGGGTCTGAGTGATTCACATCTATTTCTGGGCTTGGTGGGTTAGACAACATCCAATTCGTGATGGGCAGGCAGCTCAGGCCACATGGTCACTTGATGTCCCATGGTTAGGTAGCGGGAGCTGTTTCTCAAGAGAAGAGGATCTGCAATAGAAAGCAGGGATCCATTCTAAAGCCCTGGAATTCTTCCTGGCGACTCCAGTCAGGGCTTGCTGGAGGTTTCACCAGCATTGGCAATAGATCGTTTGAGTATTGACCAATCTGCTCTGGCATAAAGCCCAGGTGTCAGCCCAGAGCTAAATTTTTAATAAAGGTCACACCACACAGGTTTTACCAGTAAAGCTTTCCCCTGGAGTGGACTGTTAACTGCACTAAGCCAGCTTAATTCCTTGATTGGTTTTCTATACAATGTAATTACATTATTGCTAAGGTTTCTATTTTCATTTTTACTTAAAAATATTGTCATTAAGAGCATCGTTTTCTATGGGGTTTCACAGTAGAAATCTAATTCAGTCTAACCAGTTCTACCTTTAGCCCTTGTGTGTTGTAGCTTTTGCCCTCGTGGGCTTGCCTTTGTGGCTATTATCTCCATGCCAAATGTGGACTATTATCCAGCCATAAACAGGAATGAAATTCTGATACATGCTATATAACATGGATGAAACTGGAAAACATTCAGTGAAGTAAGTCAGACTCAGAAGGATAAATATTGTATTATTGAACTCATATGAAATATCTAGAACGGACAAATACATAGAGACGGAAAGTAGATTAGAGGTTACCAAGAGCTGGAGAGGAGTGGAATGGAGAATTATTGCTTAATGATTCCAAAGTTTCTATTAGGGGTGATGAAAAAGTTTCGGGTATAGATAGATAGTGGTGGTGATTGTACAACATTATCAATGTACTTAATACCACTGAATTATACACAAAAATGGTGAAAATGCAAATTTCATATTGTGTGAGAAACTAAGTGGAAATTATGAACTTCATACCAAAAAATTTGAAAATTTAGATGAAATGGACACCAAAATTGATACAATAAATAAACTATGAATAATTCTAAATCTCTGAAAGAAATTGAATATGTAATTAATAACCTCTCCACAAAAACACACTGGGCCCAAGGGGCTTTACCAGTAAATTCTACCAAAGATTTAAGGAAGAAATAACATCTTACTCTTCCAAATAAGTGGCAAAAAACACTTTCTAAATCATTTTATGACACTCAACTAATTAATACCAAAACTTGACAAGGACATTACATAAAAAGAAAATTATAGACCAATCTCATTTATGAATATAGATGCAAAAATCCTAAGATATTAGCAAATTGAATCCAGCATATATAAAAAGCATAGCATGTCATGACCGAGTTCATTTCAGAATACAAGGTTGGCTTGATAATTAAAAATCGATAAATGTAAATTCTCCACATTAGCAGAATAAAAGAGGCAAAGTTTCTGATCATCTCAGATGATGCAGAAAAAGAATTAGATAAAAGTCAACATCCATTCCAGATTTTTTTAAAAAAAAAAAACAACTTTGCAAACCAGGAAGAAAGGGAGTCTACATAATCTGATACAAGGTTATCTACAAAAAAATATGGTAGACATCATACTTAATGGAGAAAAGCTGAAAAGCTTTCCTCTGAGATGGAGAAATGAGAAAAGAATGCCTTCTATTTACCATTTCTATCCCACAAGCAGGGCCCAGCTAACTTTTCAGAGCAAGAAAGTGATACATTGCAAACTTTTCCGGGCATTTATCCCGTTGGATGGGAAGGAATGGGAAACAGAAAGACTGGAAAGAAGGTACTGGAGTGATGAGAGTCTCCAGTTTTGCTCATTCCTTTTTTTCTTCTGAGGGTCAGAACCATTAAGTATGATGTCAGAACCAGAGTGGGAAGCAACATCTTTAGGATCACCAATCAGATGATGTTAGGATCATTCCACTTTAAGCCAAGAAGGGGCCTTGAAATATCATCTCCTACCATAACCCTGTCGATTCACAAGGGAAGAACTGTGGTCCACAGATTAAACGAGTTCCCAAGATCCTACTGCCACTGAGTTGCCATTTTCCCTCTCCGGTTGGTAATATGAGTCCCTTAAGTCCACTGCAAGTGGCCACAGGTGCAACGGCGAATCTGCCTCCTGGGACAAAGGCTCCGGAGCAAAGAATAGCCAGTGAAGAGGCAGAATGCATCAGCATTGCAGAAGTCCAGTGGCATAGCTTTACCCTACCGACATCACAAGCAGAATGCTGGGACTGGTCACACTTGGATTGTGACATCAGGGGGTAAAATTGCAGGCAGTCTTTGAGAGGGGGGCCAACTTGACGGCGAGACCACAAAACAGCCGCCGAAGGGAAAGGTGAGAAGGCAGTCATCAGATCTCGAGAGATGTAAAGGGTTGGGTGGGGACACACTGGACTGATGGGGACCCTCCCAGAAGCTGGTGAGGTGGGACCACGGGTGAGGCCTCTGCACCTGAGTGCCTAAGGATCCTTTTCCTTCCTGCCACAGAGCAGCCATGTCTCTGGCTCTCCCCGACATGCAGAGAGTTTCACGTAAGTACCTGCGCTTCCTACCTTTCTTCTGAAGGACCAAGGAAGTGGTTCCTGTCCCTTGTCATGTGACTGCTTCCTGCCATCCACTCTCTTGTCCAGGATTTGGTCCAGAAATTAGGGCTGAGACAAGGAAAAACACAGTCCCCGATTTATGCCCCCCATATGGGTTGACCAATGACACAATTCCTGTACCCCATGGTCAGACAGCTGCTTCCAAGAGAAGGACTGGTGTACCCCTCAAAGGCCCCTCAGCCCCTGCCTTGGCTTGTGCATGGCTTTGCTCTGTCTTCCCAGGGCCAGTCCAGGACCACGTCCCAGTCCCGCAGCCCCCTGCCCAGCCCTCAAGACCCACCCAGGGCCAGCTCCTGATGAGTAACAACGGCAGTATCTGCACGTTTGAGGACCAAGTCCTCTGTCCCATTTGCCTGGAGGTGTTCCGCAACCCAGTCACCACTGCCTGTGGCCACAATTTCTGCATGACCTGCCTCCAAGGTTTCTGGGACCACCAGGCTACCACAGGGGAGATGCTCTATTGCCCCCAGTGCCGAGAGAGCTTCCCCTCCAGACCACGCCTCTGCAAGAATGTCATCCTGGAGGAGATGGTGACCTGCTTCACCCGGGCCAAGAGCCAGAGCCCAGGGTCCTCTTGGAACTTACCCGGGCCCGGGGACGTGCCCTGCGACTTCTGTTCCCCTCAGAAGCTCAAGTCAGTCAAGTCGTGCCTGCAGTGCATGGCCTCCCTGTGTGAGAAGCACCTGCGCAGCCACTACGAGGACCAGCTGTTCCAGGGCCACCAGCTGCTGGAGCCCGTGTGGGATCTCAAGAGCCGCTTGTGCCGCAAGCATCGCAAGCTGCGGCGCCTCTACTGCCGCACGGAAGGCTGCTGCGTTTGCGGGACCTGTCTGCTGGAGGAGCACAAGGACCACGACACTATCCCCCTGGGGGAGGAACGCGCCCGCAAGGAGGTGAGGCTGGGGGTGGGAGCCAGGGGCCTCGTGATTCTGAGTCTTTCCCTGAAGGCGAGTCTTTCACGAGCTCCAGGCACACCTTTCCTCGGAGAAAACTTCCGCGCCCCTTAAAGCGATGGCCACGAGAGTCACGGCAAGCCACGAGACAGTGCTGGCAGGTTGAAGGAGCAAGGATCCCAAATCGTGTGTATGGATCCTATGTTCGATTTTTCTTTTTTTTTTCTCGCAGAAAAAAAGAAAAGTGTGAAAGAAAACATCAAAATACAAACATGTCACGTTAGGGTGGGCGAACTCCTTTCCTTTTCTCTATTTTCAAACGTCGTTTCATATATTTGTGTCGCTTTTATAGTGGAATTCTTATGTATTAGACATTCTGTCCTGTGTATTCTCTAACACTGCCAGTCCCACGGAGCCACGCATGAATGGCCCATGGCAAGGGGCTTGTGCCCATATGCAAATCAACTCCTCACGCTGTGGAGTTCAGCTGGCACTTTTTCCATAGGAAGACATTCTGCAGGAAGGAAGCAGCAGCGTGTTGATTTACCATCTAACGCGAGCTTCTAATTTTGTTGCGGGTCAGCAACAGTTCACGAACGGGCATTTGGAACAGCGCAGTTCTGTATATTACAAAACGTGAAAATGCTCATTGTCGGAATAGGTGAAGATAAAAGCTTATGTAGAAGGAACTGGGCCTGGCAGCGCTGCCCTGAGGAGCCCAGGGCTCCGTATCTGACGTGCCCCTCCTCGACCCACTGCCTCCCAGGCCTTGTGACCCGAAACCCAATGGTCATCACTGTCAGGGGCAGAGAACCTGACTCCTCAGAATGGAGAGACAGAGTCTCAGGGAGCGAGAGACCAGGAGTAGAGGGATGACCCTTGGCCAGCTAGCCTTCGTTCTTTCTCATTCTCATTTCAACCTCTTAAGAATGTGTCTCTTCTGCGGACTTGAACATGGGCTACTTACAGAAGGACCTCTCCTAGGTCACCTCTCAATCAGGAATCCTCTCCTCCTCCACCCCACCCTCTCTCCCCAGCTCGAGGTGCGGCAGGTCCAGGCCGACGTGGAGAACCAGATGCTGATGATCACCTCCGACAGCCAGAAGCACCGGGGGCAGGTGGCCTTTCTCTCGGTAAGGTTGGCCCACCCTGCCCGAGGCCCAGGCTTCCCCAGCGCCCTGCGTCAGGCTGAGGGGGTTCTCGGGGCTTAGAGTGGATGGTGTGGGACCAGGAAGACAAAGAGGATACCTGGGCCACCTCCAGGCTATGACAATAGGGGTCCCAGGGTGGAGCTCAGAGATGCCTCTCTCTGTACTCTCCTACCCGCCCCCCCGCCCCGCAGAAACTGATCCAGACAGCGCGCAATGAAGTGAACTCCTACTTCTCAGAGATCATGCAGGAGGTCAAACATCTGCAGATGAAGGTCTTGGATTTTGTGGATAAAGAGGAGGCAGCTGCCCTGGGGAAGCTGGGCAGCTCCATCCAGCAGAGCCACAACCGGCTTCTGAAGCTGGAGGGGGACAGTATCTGGCTGCGTACCCTGCTCACCAACCGAAATGACCAGCAATTTTTGCAGGCAAGGCCCCACTGCACCCCACCTCCGCCCCAGGTGCTATCAGAGCCTCTACTCCTCCTCCACCCACAGACACGCCAGACAAGCCCAGACCTTGGATTAAGTGATCAGGGTTTGGGGTGGCCTCAGGGAGCTCCCTGCGAAAGGTCGCCGCCCATCCTGAGCTTACACCAACACCCTTAGTTTCCTCTAGCTCTGCATTCGCCCTTACCCTAACTTTCCTGCCTTCATGTCCCCGGAACGTATGGGGTGTAACTCAGCACTCTGGGCACCTGACAGTCTAAGTTTCTCCACACTCAGCCAAGCAGGGCTGGAAGTGAGACCAGAACAATCGACAGAGCCTGGATTGCAATCCTTTTTGGTTCTGCAGCCCTAGCCAGGCCCTGCAGCCTGGTCTGGTGCTGCGGTAGGAAGCGACCAGGCAGGGCAGCTGGTGAGGTCGGGGCGGAGGGTGACGGCAGCCTTCTCTGTGGGTGGGTGCCCCGGGCTTGGGAATCCCTAGCACAGCTTTCCTCTCTTCAGCGGCCATCACACCCTTGAGCAGATTTCTGGGACTATTGCTCACCTTGTCCCCCACGCACAGCAGGAAGCATTTGGCGAGGTTTTTTACTAAGCAATTAAATGCTCAAAAGAAACCCTTCCCCCATCATTTTTTAAAAATCCACTTTGCTTAACGCGCTAGGCCACAGTGGCCGTGCCTTTGGAAAAGCCCTCACCTCAGATGTTCAGACAACCGGGAGCAGGAGAGAGATGCCCAGATTTGAAAACAGGCAGATTCTCCACTTGCCCCGCGGTTCTGGACACCACCGAGCCCCTGGCATAAGCAGGAGCTCCTGGCATCTGCCTGGGCCCTGGCGGACAGATGCTACCACCGGCCCCTTCCTGCACACAGGAGTTCCCCAGGCTAAAGCACTTCTCTGACTCCATGGAACCCCTGATGGGCACCAACTGCGAGGAGGAACAGAGCTTTCTCCAGCTGCCGGAGACCTTGGAGGAGCTCAGGAGCCGGCTGGTGGACATGGGTCTCAGCTTCATCAACCAGCTCCTCCTGAAGGGTTAGTACCTGGTGGCCTGGGGCCACTGGAGACACGCCTGCATTCCTGGAGTGTGATGGCCCTACCTACGGGCAGTGGCTGGGGTTCTGGGCACTTGCAGAGCACCCTGCTTGCCCGCACGCGCCTCCTCCAGGTGACGCGGCCTCCTGGAAGCCCATACCTCTCTCCGAAAGGCGGGCTGTGGGAGTGTCCTCAGCAAAGCCCCTCTATCTCCCCCAGGCATTAAAATGAACTCCTATGAGGTGCTCCCCCCAGCTGTGGACAGGAAAACACTTCTCAAATGTGAGTGGTCAGGGCTGGGGTCCGGCCTCCTGGGTGGGAAGGACCCCAGGTGCCTCGACTCCCCCAGCTCCACTTCCGTTCAGGCCAGGGCTCCAGCTCACTGTTGCCTCGGGACTGGAGACCTCTGAAGGACTAGGCCTGTGACTCTACGCCCTGATAAGAAAGGGGGAAAGCCTGTCCTGTGCAACCGTGGGTGGAGCAAGGCCTCGCCTGCCCTCCAGAGGCCGCTCTGCCCCCGTCCCCGGCCCTGAGATGTGGCACAACCTCTGCCCTCAGCTGGGGGCCTGCCAGCCTCCCCTGGGCTTTAGCCAAGCCAACTCGGAGGACCCTGTCCAATTCCACCTCAGACAAACTCCCTTTCATTTGATGTTCCTGCAGCCATCTGCCCGTCCGGGCTGGGGGCCAACTCCTAATGACTTTTCTGAGATCGCCAAGGTCAAGAGTGACTTGCCTTTGGTGAAGCCCTCTGACCTCCTCCAGGGGCCTTTGACTCTCCCTCTGTCCCACTCAACCTCGTGTCCTGAATAAATAAAAAGTCTGATGAGGGTGGGGAGGAAGACTCGGTTCTCAACTTCTCTAGAAAGATGGAGCGAGCCTTGGACAGCACCCAGCTCTCCTTCCAGACTGTCAGTGCTCTCCCCTCCATCCCCAGTTGGGGACCTAAAGAGTGGGGGACAGACACTTGGACACCTCTATGCGAATGCCCTTTGGCTTAGCACCTCTTCCCTCCAGGCTCTCAGGCTCTGCCCTGGGGCCCCTGACCCTGGCTCCCTCTCCTGTCCCCTCCACCCAGGTTACTGCAACCTGAACTTCGACCCCACCACGGCCAGCGAGGAGCTCTTCCTGTTCAAAGAGACCCACTCGGTCCTGAACCTGGGCATCCTGCTGGAGCCCTTCACGGCAGGCGGGCCTTTCCCCGGCTTCAAGCAGTGGCCGCAGGTGCTGTGCTCGCGCGGCCTGTCCGAGGGCCGTCACTACTGGGAGGCCGAGGTGTCCAACTCGTGGGTGTGCCTGGGCGTCACCTATCGCCGCAGCCCCTCCCTCAGCGGCCGCCCGCGCCGCAACATCGTCTACCTGCTGGGGCGCAACCCCTACTCGTGGTGCCTGGAGTGGGACTCGCTCAAGTTCTCCGTGTGGCACAATAACACGCAGACGGTGCTGCACGGCGGCTACCACCGCACGCTCGGCGTGGCGCTGGACTGCGCCGCCGGCTGCCTGTCCTTCTACGGCGTGGCGGGCGGCGTCAGTCTCATCTACCGCTTCCTCGCCTCCTTCCTGGAGCCGCTCTACCCCGCCGTCATGGTCAGCAGCGGCGCCTTGGTCACGCTCAAGCAGGTGTAAGTGGTGGCAAATAAAGCTAGACTCTAGTGCTGGCTGGGCCCGCGGGGCGCGGCGCCGGGAAGGGTTAAGCGGTGGGCAGCGAACCTGCCACACCTGGTGGTCCCCACAGCCACAGGAGAAGGGCTCTGAACCAGACTAGACTGTCCCTGGGACTGGGGACAGTCTGGTGGCCTCTGGAGGGAGCATTTCTGACCCAGGTGCACAGCCTCCCCACCTCCCAGTTCCCTAGACCCCCTCAGAGACACCGCCCTGTTTCTCCAGGCTGGTCCTAGCCACTCAGCACCAGCTACCACACCTGTCCCCAAAAGCTCTGTGGCCTGAGAGTGGGCAGGGCTTGGACCCCAGGGCTCCTCTCAGGTGGCCAGACTGAGAAGTGGCTCCTTACAGACTGGGGTAGGTGGTGTTCTGTCTGAGTTACTGGCTTAATTGCAGGCTAGAGGTTAAGCTGAAGAACCCAGGCTTATCTCAGACCCAAAAGAGAAAGGCTGAGGGCCTAGGCCAGGCCTGGACTGGGGCTGCCGACCTTCCTGCTCGGAGCTGAGCCCCTCACACGGATGGTGTTTCATAGTCCAGAGGGAATGTGGGGCTGCGGCCATCCCGGGCTGGCAAACCGTAAACCACTCTGTGCCTTCCTCGGTGTCCCTGAAAGCTGCTGTCCCCACCCCCAGCCACAGGCCCACCCCACGTGGCTCCCAGAGGGTGGCGCTGCCCGAAAGCAAAGGGGCTTCGTCCTCGTCCAGGCCTCTGCCAATCCCACCCGCCCAACAGGATGTGTGCAAAGTCTTCGGAAGAGGCTGGACCCTGGACCCCAGCTGGCCACTGCTCTGTGACCCTGGCAGGAGCGTGACTGGGGACTCGCCCCTCTGAATCTCCAGCCTCAACCAGCCACACGTTCCCATGGCTTCTCAGGTGGGGGCTCTCGGTAAGGTCTGAAGAGGAAATGCCAAGAGTCAGGTAGAAAGTCCCTAGGGCACCGTAGTCCAGACACAGGCCAAATGGGGTCTCAAGTGGCCGTGCCTGAATCCATTGCCGAGGGGCCCATCCTCTGGGCCCTCGCTTCTCGTTTGGAGGCAGTAGTTTTGGGGGCAGGGCAGGGCCACCCTTTGGCCCCTCTGAGCAAGACTCGCTGGGGTCTCTCTCTGACCTTCCTCCTCGCAGACCTCGTTCGGCGATTCCAATTGCTTTGTCCCGTGGGCTGCAATCTGTGTGGATGTTGATGGGTAGGAACAAAATCTAAACCTTTTGATGTTCAGGAGAAACCTTCCCCCCCCCGCCCCCATCTTCATTCTTCCCAGATCAAGGGGTTGCAGGCTTCTGCATCGCTGGGCAAGGTCGTGATGCTTAGGCAATGCTTGATCCAAGGGGACAGGGGACTGGTCTGGCTAGCGACATGGATCTCAGAGTCCTTCCTCATTGGGGAGCTGGCAGAGTGGGGCTACTCTCTCCAGCTCCTCCTGGCTCTGAGGGACATGTAGTTCCAGGATGTGTGATTCTGGAACTGTGACACCCTCGGGCACACAGTGTGAAACCACTGTGTAAGAGGGTATAAGAGGGATGATGTTTGCTTTCTTAAACTGGCACCTAAATAGATACTGGCACTGCCACCGACTGAAACGGAGCATGAAGGCAGACCAGGCTTAGTGGGGGTGGGGCAAGGGCCGTGGGGACAGCGTCCATAGCAAGTTCCCGCTGATGTTGGGTTCGGGGCCCCTCGAGGCACACAGTGAAGGAGTCAGGTTGGCTATGTAGGCTGAACAGACACGGGTGTGGAATGAGACAGTGAAGGTCTCACTGTGGGAATTCGGTGGGAAACCTGTGGGAATTCTGCCATTCAAAGGAAAAGAACAAACAAGAGAGGCCAGAGATGTGGGAGGAAATCCCGGGGAGAGTGACATCCTGCAAGCCTTTTGTGAATTTCAAGGAGCGAGGGGTATGTGAGGTCAGAGCTTTAGGCAGATGAGGATTAAACATGTTCATTGGATGTGGTAACTTGAGAATGACCAGAAGGGATAGAAGTTTGGCTTTAGAGGGTGGAGGGAGGAGGTGAGGTGCCTTTCATACCAAGTCAGCCAGTGGAGGGGGCTGGGGCAGGAGCTGGAGGTGGATATGAGTGGATGGAAGGTAGATTTTATTTTTGTTTCATTTTGGGAGAGACCTGAGCTTGTTTAAATACCAATCTTACACAACAGCCTATCTGTATGATCTGAAATTCCTCGGGGTAGATTTGTGCCTGAGAGAAATTTTAGATTTAGCAGGAAATGCCAAGAAAAACGGTTCCCAAGGGAAGGAGATTCAGGAGGAAAGGCAGGTCAGAGCAATAGGGAAGACCCTTCAGGGAAGCTGGGCCTGGGGCTGCACCCTGAGGATGGGTGGCTCCAGCAGGCCACAGATGCACACTGGGCCCTTGTGCTGGATTGAATGGTATCCTCAAATTCCTGTCTACCTGGAGCCTCAGAATATGACCTTATTAGAAAATGGGGTTTTTACAAATGTAATTAAGACGAGGTCATATCGGAGTAGGATGGACCCTAATTCAATGACCAGTATCCTTATAAGAAAACAGAGATAAACAGACATACAGACACAGAGAGAAGATAGAGCAGAGGTTTGGAGTGGTGCATCCACCAGCCAAGGAAGGCCAGGGATTGCTGGCAGCACCAGAAGCTGGGGGGAGAGGCATGGAATGCATTCCCCCTCAGGGTCTCCAGGAGGAACCTGCACTGCCAGCACCTAGATCTTGGAATTCAGGCCTTCACGCCTTCAGAATAATGAGAGAATAAGCTTCTGTTGTCTTAAGAACCCCGGTTTGTGGTTCGGCAGTCCCAGGAAACCCACACAGCACTTGTTGAGTGTTGTGTTGGGTGTCCTGCCAATGCTGGAGATACCAAAACAGATCATCGCCTGAGTAGTCCTGGTTCTTAGGCAGCTGCGACATCGGGAGCCACCCGGAGGACTCTGCAGAGTATGTGGCACTTGTCCTTTGTCATTGAAAATAGTGGGGGTTGTCCAAGGTGGTCGGGGAGCACCTGTGTGAGAGCGAAGAGGTGACCAAACATGGGTCAGGGCTGATCAGAGGAAGGGAAAGGACCAGCAGGAGATGAGGGCCCTACAAGGACGTGAACTTGATTCTGCAGTACTCTGGGCACCACAGAGGGTGGCCCTCGGGGGCATGGCCTGATCCAGTTTGTTTTAGGACAATCTTGAGGGCATCAGGGCGGCTGGAGCAGGGAGGCCCACGTGTGGCCCGAGAGCCAGGGCGAGGCTGAGAGGGAGGGTGGGTGCTGGAGATGAGGAGAGGGCACGAGGGGGAGGTGAGGGCAAGAGCACACGCGGGCTGCGGGGAGATGTCAGGCTCGTGGGCTGAGAGGGTTGGGAAACGGATGTGCTGACCAGGGAGCCCTGCCAGGCTGTGGGCGAAGCGGTCCACGAGCTCGAAGGCAGACTCTCCGGTGCAGCGCCCGAAGGGAGGGTGTTTTGGGAAAAGGAGTCTGGCGATCCAAGCAGGGAGGCCGAGCAGAGAGATCCCCTCAGGGCTCAGTGTTTGGGCCCCGTGGCCCTGAAGGGGCCACAGCATCAGGAAGAGATAAGACATGAGCCAGACTGCAAAGAGAAGAATTAACGATTAGCTAGATATGAAGATGAGGCCCCTGATCTGAAGCGGAAGATGGTGAGGGTGGTGTGAGAACAGGCTGAGTTGGGATGACAGCGAGCAGATCTCAAGGAGATGAGCCTGGAGCTTCGGAGAGGGAATAGTCTGGAGGAGCGAGTCTGATTAAAAGAGGTAAGAAGGAGGAAGCGGAAGAAGGAAGAAGGGACTCAGGCGGAGGGGTTCCCAAAGCCACGGGAACCACGCTCCAACAGCCCCCTCTTGGGCTAGGAGGGGCAAAGGGGGCCTTTGGAGCGAGGGCTGTGCCCACGCTGCAGTCCTAGGAGAGCCTGACAACCTGCTTTATGACCACCGCCTGTGGTCATAAAATCAAGGCAGGGTTCAGCACAGAGACAATCCTCAGTTCAGGGGGCATGAGGTCACCCTATGGTTGGTCTTGTCCCACTCCCTAGCCTGGCCCTAGCATTAGGCGAGATCAGGACATTCTGCCTCCCAGGAGGTGGGAGCTGGTGTGGAGAGGGGGTGATAGTGCATCCCCTACCTTCACAGCATCTACAGCCAGCCCTGGGACAGTCTGTGCCCATCAGAGCTGAGGTCTAGGGGTCTTGGGAGAAATTAGCTAGCTGGGTGGCACACCCTAGACCTCTGGGGCCAGCCAAAAAACTGCCACCTCCCCTGGGCAGAGCAGGGCAAATAGTCAGAGGGGGGTGGTGTGGAGGAAGGATGGAGAAACTATCCTAGGGTTGGCAGAGAAGGAAGGGGGCAGCAGACAAGAAGGTGTTGAAGGCCCAGCCACCACCAGCATCCAGGAGAGCCAGAACAGACCTCATCCCCATTGTCCCAGCATACATTTGGGCACTCTGGCTATGCCAGGGACACCAGAGAGTCACAGCAGAGGCCAAGAGCTGGGGAAAGGGGCAGAGGGACCAGGAGATTATCCTGGAGCTTTCAAGTAATTAAATATTTTTAAAGGACCCCAGTCCCTGGGCTTGAGGTGTTAAGGCCCAAGAAGTGAAGGAGTGACTCAGGTGGGCCAATGAGTCAGTATCTGTATAGCACTCAGAACCATCCTCTGTACATGTTGACCTTTATCATTACAGCTCTTATTATCCAGTGCTACTCCCCACTCCCGTGCTAACGGCTGGGGAAGCGCTGGTCATCGGGGCAAGAGAGCTCCTAAGCCTTAGCGAGCTTCGTGGGGGAGACACACACACTTAGCAGGAATAATGCCTCAATGTGGGAGGTATGGGAGGCCTTCCTAGAGGAAGGGGCTTCTAAGCTGACACCTGAAGGCCAACCAGGGGCC